AAGGGTCTCGGGGTGGATAGTTCACACTAGTTGATCGGATGCAGATGGCACCCACCATTTTCCTCTTTCAGGGCCTAGCGATGGAATCTTTGATGTGTTGAATGTGTCGAAAGTGATGGAAAGTTACCGTGTCTACAGTAAACACATACACGCAGACCCACTAAATGTTACAGTAACAACACTGTAGCAACATTGCGCACCTACAACAAACCCACATACATATATATAGCTCTCCACAGCGTTAAGTTTAGATTATTCCAGTGTCTCTAATTAAGAGTGAAAAAAAAGAGAGGGAGAGAGAAAGAGATAGAAATAGAAAGAGTTTCTCATTGAGAAGAGAGATTGTAACTTCTAAATTTTTCTCATAGTGGATTCTTCTATCCTTGCCCGTGATTTTTACCTCAAATTCATTTGGGAGGTTTTTCATGTAAATTTATGTGTTCACTTTATTACTTCTGCTCTACTATTCACTGAGACTTTGCTCTATTGGGTCCCGAGTTTGTCCTAACAAGTTGTATCAGAGCTTGACTTAGGGTGCGTGTATCTACTTATTCTATGCTCTGTGGCTGCCACCAAAGGTGGATCCTCCACATCAAAAAATAAGTTAGATTATCATTTACCATTTGAAGGCAATGGGCACTATTTTTATGAGTATGATATTGTTTATAAATACGACACTATTTACATACGATATTGTTTATAAATACGACACTATTTACAAGTACAATACTATTTACAAATATCATTATTGTTCATAAATACAATTACTGTTTACGTAAAATAGTAAGAAGTTATTGTTCGTGGTAGAGGTAATAGCGGCGAAGTTCGAGATCGAGAAATTTAACAGGAATAATTTCTCACTGTGGAAGTTGAAGATAAAGGCTATCTTGAGAAAAAATAATTGTCTAGCGGCCATCGGTACAAGGCCAGATGATATCACAGATGATAAGAAGTGGAACGAGATTAAAGGAAATGCTATTGCTAATCTCCATCTTGCATTAGCAAATGGGATGTTGTTAAGCATAGAGGAGAAGAAGACAACAAAGGATATATGGGATACTCTAACGAAACTATATGAGGCAAAATCTCTGTACAACAAAATCTTCTTAAAAAAGGAGACTTTACACTCCGAGGATGGCATAATCTACATCAATGACCGACCACATCAACACCCTAAACACACTATTCTCCTAACTCACAATGTTGGGGGCATGCAATCGGTGTGAATGAACGTCTAGAGCTTCTACTTCAGAGTCTACCTGACTCGTATGATCAGCTCATCATCAATCTCACAAACAACATCCTTACAGACAATCTAGTCTTCGATAACATTGCAGCCGCTATTCTAGAGGAAGAAAGTCAGCAAAAATAAAGAAGACAGGCAGGCAAGTTCGCAACAAGTGGAGGACTTATCGGTGACGAGAGGAAGATCAACGAAATGTGGCTTCTGTGAGAGTCATATCCATGGTAGATCAAAATCAAAAAGTAAAAAGAATATCAAATGCTACAACTATGGCAAAAGGACGCACGTGAAATTGGAGTGTTGGCATAATAAGAAGAGTGGTGACAAAAAATCTTTAGAGCCGTTAACATCTTAAGGATACGTTGTCAGCACATCGGACAATGGTAAAGTTTTATACAGTGGAACAATCACCATTGATGAAGGCAGAAAGAGGTTTATTGATGTCTGACTTCTAGATTCAATAGCCTCCTAGCACATGACCTCCCGGAGAGAATGATTTTACAAATATGAACCTATCTCAGGAGGATCTGTATTCATATGCAATGATCATGTCTTGGATATCAAAATCAAAATGTTTGATGGTACAATACACACCATTCAATATGTGCGATATGTGAAGGGCTTGTAGAAGAATCTATTGTCTTTAGGAGTATTAGATGAGCTCGGGTGAAAGACCATTGTTTGTTGGAAAATTTGCAGTAAAAAGACAATGAAAGAAAAATTGACTTGTATTCCTCTCAAAATCAATTACAATTTGGATTCCGATTACAAAAGAGAGGAGAATGAATTTGATTCTCCCCTTTGTTTAATTCTGGGTTCTTCACGGTGGCGATGGAGTGCCTCCCTCGAATGCTCGCGTCGAGTTTGCTCTCCGTTAACGATCCGAACGTCTTGATTCACTGGAACGATGTCTTCTCCTCACGATTTGACGTTGTGGAGAACTTGCGTGGAAAGTTTGAAAATAACTCTTAACGAGTTAATAACTCTGAACGAGTTTTAGAAGAACTTGCAGAGCAAGTTTTGAACTCTGATCGAGTTGATAACTCTGACGAGTTTTAGAAGAACTTGCAGAGCAAGTTTTGAACTCTGACCGAGTTGATAACTCTGAACGAGTTTGAACTCTTGAAAAAGAGTTGATTTGAACCGAAAGTCGGTTATAAGCCAAGAGAATGCTCCTGTTGCCGAACTTGGAGATGATCTCTGTTGGAGAATGATCTGATCTCCAAGAAATTCCCCCTTTGCTGCCAAGTCTCAGATCCAAAAAGCCCTTGACCGAATCTCCCTCTGTTGATGAGATAAAAAATTCGATCCCCAAGCTAGCCGCAGATCGCTTATTTGCTGCCCAAAAAAGAAGCCCCCAAACTCAGTTGAGTTTCCCACTATTTATAGGGGATTTAGGGTGGTAACTACCCCCTTAATCCGCTCTTAAGTGGGGCGAAAATCCCTCAAATCGTGGGGAAAAACAGTTCCTGGAACTGTTCATTGCGTGCTTGAACGAGTCAAACGCTAAAAACGGCGTTCTGGGCCTTAACTCTGCGTCTAAGGCCTGAGACGCAGAGTTAAACCTTTGTCAAAGGTTTGAAACGCACAGGCCGCATGCGTTCGGCGTTAGAACGCAGAGCTGAACTCTGCGTTCAGCAGTTCAAGCAACACAGGCGCACATGCCACGTTTGGGCTTTAACTCTGCGTCCAAGGCTTAGGACGCAGAGTTAAATCTCTGTTGGAGATTTGAGACGCACAGGCTGCATGCGTTCTGAAATTGGAAATGCACAGGTCACTGGTGCGTTGAGGATCAACTCTGCGTTCAGAGTTTGGGATGCAGTCGAGTCTGTCGAAGAACGCACGTTAAGTGTACGTTTTCGTGATTTAACTCTGCGTTACAGAGTTTGACGTCTGCTAAGGAACGCACACTTGTGTGCGTTTTGAACTTGAAAAACGCAGAAGTGAATTTCTGCGTTTGAGAGAGATTGTTGGCTTATAACCTCGTCCATTATAACATTGCAAAGGCTATTGCTTATTGATCTTTGCCTGTTATAAAATATGAGAGTCGTCAGATTGTAACTCCCGATGTTGATTGTCCTTTCTGTCAGAGTATTGCTAAAGACTGTCGTTTTGTAATCTTTGCTTTAACTCTTTGACATGTGAAAATCTTCGAATTGTAGCCTTCTGGAAGTCGTCAAGTTGTAACTTCCATCATCGGTGTTTGATGGGGGATCAACTATCTATTGTGATTTTTAGACAGCCTACAGAACCCCCTCCAAAGTTTTCGAAAGTTCGCGGTTGACTGGGACGAATTTTCAGAATACTTTGGATCTCAATTCTGATCTTGGAGCTGTTGATTCCTTGTCACAAAGGAGTTGTTCTCTGCACTCGCTTCGAAGGCAGCTTGGTTGAACGGATTTTCCATGCAGGACCTGTGTGAAGGTATGTGCCATAATCCTGCTTCTGGAATGTGGGGGTGGACCCTGCATTTTGAACTTGAGATGCGGGTTTCACCGTTGCATGTTGAATTTGGAACACAGGTGTGACCTCGGCGTTTGGTTTTTTGCATCGCGGGTCAACGTTTTGACTTAAGACATGGAAGTGGCTTCCGTGTATTTTTGACTAAGTCTTTGAGACTTGTCTTTGGCGCATCTGTTTTAAGTCTCGACTCACATCTATTAAGCTGATGGGCCTGCAAATGTGCGTAGGATTTTTGGCAAACCCTCAGCCATCAACGGATTTGATAAGCCTTTACCGACTACCGTTTGAGTCGGGCTAGCATGTGAATTATCTAGGTCCGTTCCACATGTAACGTTGTGCTAAGAGAATGAACTCTCTTAGTCTTGATGCTATGATTTTGAATACATAGACTTTGTCATTTTGACGGGAAAAGACTAACCGGCAACGCGTGTTAGGCGTAGACTTATCTCTTATTAGGGATCGAGATAAAGTCCCCCATGCGTGT